ATTGCGCATGAAATGGTATGTAAACCCCGTATTTACGTATCTGCCATTAAATATTAATTGAGTGGAAGCGAATTGGTGGCGTGGGTGCACAATTAAATACTGCGCACTTTTTTAATATAATATTTAAAATGTATTATTTATATTAATTTTTGTACAAACACTCAAAATATATAAAAACACACAAAAATATATAAAATTATGAAATAGTAAAAATAAATAGACTAATAAAATTTATTTCAGGGAGATAAAAATGTAATATTTAGGCTCCAATCACTCGTGCTCTCAAAACATATTTCTCGCTTTTAGTTAGATAGAATCACCATGTCTTTTCCTGCACAAATCCGTTAGAGGTGAGTACAAAACCTAGTAGAGATATCTTCACAAAGTATATATATTTAAGCAGTCTCATAAATATTGATTCAATACCATGTCATGCTCCAAAATCACAAGTTTCATTCTTTTGAAAATCATATGCAATGATTTTTTTAAAATACTTCATTATCCCAATAAATTTCAAAATCTTAAATATGGGAGGATAAATACGACTCAAGTAATCCCTAGGCTGGTGTCTGCAAGTAAGTATAATAAGCACTACTAATCCTCCACTTTACCGGCTCCTAACCGGAAGGCACGTGATACCTACTCCGCACGTGTTTTCGGTCTTTCACCACTCTCAAGCCAACTTAAACAATTATATCTACGCTCCCTATCTAGACTTACCACACGTATTTACCCCAAGGCATTTCAAGATTTCTAATTGTTTTCTCAAAACAATAAACCAATTCCCACAGCAAAACCATAATAAACAATATTCAAAGCTATGCAAAATGAATGAAATGAGATACAATTATAAAGTTTCATCATAACATTCTACAATTCTCAACGTTTACTCAAATCATAACCAAAATCTATATCCATATGACATATGATACTATTTTATATTCACAATCAATGTTCACTTGAATTTCATAGTCCAAACATATACGAAATCATGATATCATATAAATTTTTCAACACAAGGTTTGTCTATCCCATGGATATCTCAATCAAAGCAACAACAAAAGAAATTTCATCATTTTCTTAAAGAAATTTCTAACAATTTTATAATTCTCCTCCTAAATTCACTTTTCCCCAAATCCCCAGATCTAGGGTTTTATTTCCAAAGAGGATCTTTTCCATTTTCAAAGGTATTTTTCCTCTTTACACTCTCAAGAAGCTCATATGTTTAACAAAACAATTTGATTTAGAGAAATTCATAAGAAAATTACTTTCCAACACTTTCAAACTCAATCTTCCATTTTCCAAACCCTCTATCCAACAATTATGAACAAATACACAAGGACTTGCTAAAGCCATATATATAACTCAAAAAAACAACTTCCTACCTCAAATTTTAGGAAGGGAGATGAGAAAGCTTCAAAGTTGACGGTGTTGAAATCCGATCTCTATCACACACAACGTAACCGTCGACGAGTTCTCTAATATTAATGAAGGGACTAAGGCCAAATCTCCAATGGATTTAAAGGGATCAAGAAATTAATGAAGTTGGTGGGTGTTTTCTAGGGAGAGATGAGAGAAAAGAGAGAAATTAAAATGTAGGGAGAGAGTGTGAAATGAAAAAGTGAAGAGGAGATAAGTAATAGTTCAACTTTTAAGTGATTGGACACATTTTTTAGAGCAGACTGTGGATAGACCGCTTGAGCGAACAATCCTATGCTCGAGTGGTGAATTCAAACTCCCAGAATCTCTCTCATCTGCAACAGATCGCTCAAGTGGTGAAACCTTCGCTCGAGTGGTGAAATAACACTCTCAATATTTTAGACTTCAAAACCAAGAACTAGAAGAACGACATAACCGCTCGAGCGACGAAAGTACCGCTCGAGTGGTCTCAAACTCAGAAGTGAGACAAAACAACCTTAGAGCATTACCACCATTCTCGGATTCACTTCAACACCCAAAAATGCAAATTGACACCTTGAAATACACTAGGATGTATATGAACAACCACAAGGAAAATGATAGGTAACAAGGACAATTAAAAGAGACAAAAATTTCAATTTAATATACTAAAATAGCTTTAAAATGACTTGGGACATTACATCTGGGATACTTTTCGAGTCCAGGGTTAAATTTGTTAATAAATGAGGAATTAAGTTTTTTTATTATAATAAATCAAAAGTTAGGGTGTTAATAGGAATTACAAAAGCTAGAGCCACACATAATAACCTTATAGCCTATACATTCCTCTAAAAGTATAAATAAATAAATAAATAAAAATTAATGCAGAAAGAAATTTCCCACCAGGAGTTTAGGTGAAGAATGTGATTGATAATACGTTTTGCTTGCTCCTTCCTTAGCATAAAAATACTGGTTTTGGATTTGTTTTTGAAGCATGGTTTGCTTGTTGAGTTGAATTGGTTCGGTTGAGAAAACAAAATTATATTTAAAAATAGACAAATAAAATATTAATGCAAATACAATCCTTATTTTCATACTTGTTGCTAAATCTATTATTTAATTCGTATTGTTGAATCCACATAAGAAATGGGGAACAAAATTTTTTTTACCTAAGTCCTAGTGGTGGAGAATATGTCATGTTTGACAATAACTAAATAAGTTATTTTTTTGTTAAAAAAAATCCAAATTAAGAGATTTGTTCGTTTTTTGCTAAATAATAAGGGGACGTGATGATTTCTCACCTAAAAATAAATAATAAAAAAAAAAAGGTTAAAGAGCACAAGACTAAGGCCAAGTTTGGCATCCTTAAAAAAATTTAAAAAGTTAAAAAGTCACTATCCTATTTAGGTCCCATCATCTTATTTAAGTCATATTACCTCTCTATCACATCATTTCAAACCCAACCCATACCCAACTCATATTTCATAAAAAGTCAAAAAGTAAACTTATTTAGGACATCCCAAACAATCCCTTAACTCTATGACTCAAAAAAAGGGAAAAAATAAATTTAAACAACTACTACACATAGCATTTTTAAATTGCAAAAAATAAAAAAAATATATAAAATAAATGAGGGTTCTCAGGGTCAATTCACAAAGTGTTTCCATGTTATCAATCTTAAATAAATAAATAAATAAATAAAAGGAGGGGGGGCCATAGACCCAACATCCCTCTCCCTTCCTTTTAAGGTGCCAAAGATGTACTAAAATTTGGCATTCTGCTAGTATAATACCAAATTTTGGTAGCTTTGACTTGTTGCTTAAAATTTTGTAAAAGTTGAATTATATAGTGATTGATCCAAAAAATAATTTAGACTATTCTTTTTCTTTTTTTTTTTGGGTCAATTGATAGGACATTAATTATAAATGTAATAATAATTAGAGAAATTACACTTCAATAGAGTTTTG